AACCGGGACCGCAGAGGGACCGCCTGCCGGGGGGGAGGCGAGGACCTGGGCTGGGCTTTCCGCACCCTGGTGAGTACCTGGTGTCCCGATCCTCCCCGACCCCTTCCACGTACCCTGGACCCGGAGGTCTCGGTCCCCACCCGGGGAGGGCACTGCTCTGGGGACCCTGTCCCTCGCGGGAGCCGCAGAACAGGGCGCTGCTGCTGCGGGTGCTAATGATTCAGCACCATTGGTGCCCAGAGGTTCGGGCATAATGGGGGACGATGGGGTGGAGGTCAATTGCTGTTTCTAGGCTCCAGTTGAAAGACCGGGCGGGCAGGGTCGGGTGGGGTGAACCAGGAGGCTCCGGCTGGCTTGTTCTGAAATTCCATCCTTTCCCCACACCCTGGCACAAACCTCCGTGCGTTTGCCCTGCAGACTTCAAAGTGTGTCAGGTTAGTGTCTTTTTCACACAAGCGAGTGAAGTCTAGGGCTATTGTGAAGACCTGTTTCTCTGCTTCTTGCCCCATTGGATGTCTATTTCATGCCATCATCCACTTCATTCCCCCTTGTTTTCCCACCCACCCCCCCCCCCCCCCCGCCCCGCTAATGTGTGAGAAAGATGCTGTACCTAATATCTAAATTGTCGCTGTATCTAAGTTGTCTTGTATTCAGGGTGGTTTGATTGGTCCTGGCATCATAGGAAGAACAAATTTAAAGCAGGAAATAATACTTTCAGAGTCTATGCATATATATATATATATGATATATATTATGTATAAGATATATATATATATAGTCTCATTAAATCATCACAACAACCCAGAACCAAATGTGGAAAGTGAGGAGCAGGAAAGTTAGATTATGTGCTCAAGGTCACAGAACAGGAATTTGAATACAAATCTTTATGATTCTAAAGCCCATGTACCTTTCACTGTATTAAGAAGTTGTTTATCCAAGTGTACCTATACTGTATGGTCTATTAAACAGAATTAATTTTCATAGGAGTGATCTCAAACAATACCAACAACAACCTGTAAACGTCCTGTAGGTGGAATGATTGTTCTTTTATATGGGGTGGGGAACCTTTTTATCTGCCAAGGGCCATTTGGATATTTATAACGTCATTCTCCGGCCATACAAAATTATCAATTTAAAAGTTAGCCTGCTATATCTGGTCAAACATTTAATTAACTCACTCCTAATGCCTTGGCAGGGCCAGAAAAATGATTTCTCGGGCCTTATACGGCCTATGGGCTGGATGTTCCCCACCCCTGTTTTATATGAAAGTAAGCTATGCTTTGAACTATGTGGGGAAAACCCCTATTTTCTTGGGGAGCATATGTCATGCCGGGGTCCAACCCCAGCAGGTCCAGGGGTTCCCAAAGGTGTAGATGGAGTCGGCGAAGAAGGAATGACACAGAGACAGCGTTCAGTTGATCAGCAGCCTAGCCAGGATCTCCAGCCAAGTTCTGGTCTGGATCTCCAGAGAAGTTCTGCCGTTTATTGTCTTGTTACATCTGTTTTTATACCAGTTGATTTTAATCCTGTCAATTTCTAGTACAAAGGTTAGGGCGTTTCTTATCTCCATTCCAGGGAGTAAAGATTATGTAGTTTAAGTGTTATTGTTTGTAGTTAAAGTGATTAACTACCCGCTTGGCACTTAGTTAAGGAGTTTCATCCCCTCCCTGACTTCAGGGAAAAATTCCTACCTGGGGAAACAACCTTTCTCGGAGAGGTGACCTTGGTTAAAACACACAGCGCTAAGGGGAGCAAACATATTAAGAACAGTATGCTATATACGCCAGGTCCCTTGAAACATATGCTGTGCAGATGTTTCTTTCCTGCAGCGACTGTGTCAAGCAGCAAGGATGGACCGGCTTCCGCCAATGTCAAAAGGTAATATGTGATATATATGGTGGACACTCAAGTGTTGGAGAAATCAATCAGGAAAGTAAAAAACAACAACTGAGTATCGTTTTCCTTTTTAAACTTTAGGAAAACATTTGCAGTAAGAACAGTTATCCAGTTCTTAGGGTGTGTGACTGAATTGTTTTTGTGTGGTGTGTTACATCATTATAAGGTGACAGATAAACCCAGACTAATAATGTTCTTTGATTCATTACCGTTCTGTGATTTGGTATAACATGATAATTCCATTTTATAGACTAAGAAACTGAAATATAGAGAAGAGTCAAGATCATAAATGGTGGAATCTGAACAAGCATTGACTTTTACAAAAAAAACGTGTTGTAGCAAAATGTAGTTCTATATCGTGGAATTCATTTGTTTTTGCCCTGTCCTTCAGAGTCAACAATTATATGGACCTTGTGCGCTCCTTCTACAAAAATAATGGTGGCTAGGTTTTTCTGTGTCCCTTGCTTGGTTATTTGACTTGCTTTCATTTATGATTTATGTATTTTCTCTTAATATATGCAACTCTTGTTAATGTCTCAGGAGGCAGGTTGCTATAGCACAAATGCTCATTATCTCTAAGTGCTGGAATAGCATTTAATGGCAGTGAGGAACATAGTCATCTTAGCTCATCGTTTCTAAAGTATCGAACCATTTGTATTGGAGAATTCTTTTTTAACTTAATGGGGAATATTGACAGACTAAAGCCCACTGCCTAAATAAGGCCATAAAATGGAGTCGTGAATTTACATTTGTTGTTCACACAAGACTATAAGAGAAGTAGGGTCTTGTGATGAGTCTTAAGTTTGATTTCTAGGAGGTCATTTCTTTTAGTTCTTTACATGGATGTAAACTGTGTCCTGAACTTTGGTGTGAAACATCTTGTAGTCCAATCTGGTTAATCCGAAGAGGGACAGCAGAATTGGTATGAATGAGTAAGCAAAAATAAGTGCCACTGCTATTTCTTTTTTTAAAGGAAGGTGTATGTCCTAGTGGTGGAAGGTCAGCAGGATCCTTTAAAATGGAAGCAACACATTTTATTTATATACCATTACTGAGAGTGTGTATTTAATACCACTTGGCTTTAGAACTGCTCAACAAAATAATTAGAATTGCCTTCATACTAGAAAAAAGGTGGTCAACAGACAAGTGCTATATCTACACCTTAAGAAGAAGGAGAAATAGTAGAGGCTGGGGTCATCAGAGGTTCACAGAAGTCTCCATGGGTGGAAGTGAATTAAGTAACTGAGAGATGGGAAGGATTTTGATAGTCAAAGAAAAAGCCGGAGAAGAGGTTCAGCTGAGAAGTGCACATATACTGTTTAGACCAGTGGTTCTCAACCTTCCTAATGCCGCGACCCCCAACCATAAAATTATTTTTGTGGCTACTTCATAACTGTCATTTTGCTACTGTTATGAATCATAATGTAAATATCTGATATGCAGGATGTATTTTCATTGTTACAAATTGAACATAATTAAAGCATTGCGATTAATCACAAAAACAATATGTAATTATATAGGTGTTTTCCGATGGTCTTAGGCGACCCCTGTGAAAGGGTCGTTGGACCCCCAAAGGGATCACGACCCACAGGTTGAGAACCCCTGGTTTAGACACACTGATGAGTTATGAAGAACCTTGAATATCAGACAGTGAAATCTGCTCCTTATCTGGTCGTCATAGGGAACTAGTGTATGTTTCTAAGCAGGCCACATTTATCTTTGACTGGTCTTGCTCACATTTTCCATATTCCTTGCTCCAGGTGTCCTTCCAGAAAATGGTATATTTCCTGGAAACTGATAGTAAAAGGATTAGTTTTCAATTAAACCAAGAAAAAGTTTTTTGTGCAAGTAAAACTTTTCCAAGGAAGTTTGCCTTTTGAAAAGCTTCCCCTCTCTATTATAGAATTATGGACAATTTGGACATTTTAAGAATATATGTAGGAAAAAGATCACTATAATCTTACTAACTAAAGACAACCACTGTTTAATATTTGATGTGCGTTCCATGCATAATTTTAATTGGACAGTGAACATTTAAAATGCTTACATTATTTTCCATGAGGTCGATGTACCATAATTTTCTAATCTTTCCTCATGGTCACTACTAGTATATTATTGATAGTAATAAATGACATTGTGATGAGCACCTTTGTTAAGTTCTGTATTTTCTAAATAGTTCTTAAGATAAAGTCTCAGAAATAAAAAAAAAGTCTGACTTCTTAATTTGCCTCTTTAAAAATTGAGATATAATGGACATATAACATTATGGTAGTTTAAGGTGTGAAACTGAGTGAGTCAAAAGGATGTCTGTAGCCACCTGTTGCACAGTAGGTCAATGAGAACTGACACTGGGCTTTGTCCTGGAGAAAGAGTGACTATCCTATATAATAAAAGCCCAATATGCTGAGTGTCCAACTGTTCGTTCTACCAGTTGCTATGATGCTCACTGGCCACTAGGGGGCAGATGTTCTGACCGGTAGGTTAGCTTGCTGTTGAGGTCCGGCCGATTGGGACTGGGTGAGTTGGGCTGGACATGCTCTGGACGAAGCCATGCACCAGGCCTCTAGTTTTATTATGAATGTTGCCACCCAGGAGAACAGGAAGCTAGTCCTCAAATTCATGAGTGATCAAGTGATCATGAGGAATGGGTCCAGGGTTGAGAGCTTTGTTGATTGGTCAATTCTTATTAAAGCTTCCACAATCTGATTTATTCAGCACTTGGTGGCATCCTATCCAGGTCTACCTGGCTATGGCTAGACAGTTTCTAACAGAAAGAAAGTCTGTGACACATCTTGGGATTGCAAGTTAGTGACATCGTTTTAAGAGCAGAAAGAAAAAAAATCCAGAGCTATTTCATGCTTAACAGGCTACATTCTTCTCTTATCTTAAGAGAGTATGCCTTCTAAAAACTTGCTATAAAGGCAGACTATAGGCCCTAGGACATGACTACATTCCAGTGCAGCTCTGGCTCTTAAAAGGGCACATTTAGTAATTTTCATTTAAAGCTAAATTCTAATATATCTAGTCTGTTATGATTTGCTGTCTGAGTCAGGCGTATAAAATAATTATTTGATATTTGTATACATTGTGAAATGATCACCACAATAAGTCTAGTTAACATTTATCACCACACATAGTTGCAAAATAATTTTTTTTTCTTATGATGTTTATTC